TGACCTTGATTTAAATTATGTTTAAAAAAAAAAAAAAAAAAAAAGAAAGATTTGTATACTTTTTTTTTTCTTTCTCTTTCTCTTTCTCTCTCTCCTCTTTCTTTCTCTTTTCAATTTTAGATTGTTGTCGGATTCCATCATTAGCTGACAGCTAGGAGGAGAGAAAAGCGTGTAAGAAAGCAGGTTTCCAGCATGACTCGTTAATTTTTATATAATTTGTGGCCTGTTTGCTCGAGAGGCCTCTATGTAAAACGAGCGAAAAACAAAACAAAACTATTAAATATGAATGAAACTAGCAATATAAGCAGTAGTTCAACCGGTGGCGTTTGTTCATCGTGTCTTAAAGAAATGCCTCTTATTATGACATCCTCATCATCATCTCGACTCTGTTCAAATTGTATCACTGAATTTATTGATCCTCAACAACAATTTTCATCACATATTAATAATAAATTTCCACTTTTTCCTTCATCACAACCATTATTAAATATGCAGCAGCATCAACAACAACAACAACAATCCCAATCAATAATGCAAACAAATTTTTCACCATTATCATCATCATCAGCATCTTCAACATCATCAATATCATCTAATAATCGACGTTTTAGTGCATTTGATCCATTTACATCCGGTAATGATATAAAAACTAGTTTTCTACATCCATTTACTGACATAAATAATGCTTTTTCAACATTAAATTCATCAAATTTAACTAATAATAATAATAATAATAATAATGATTTTGAATCAACAACATCTGATTTTATGCGTTATTTTCATAATTTTCTTAATGGAAATAATCATAATCATATCGGTGATCGTGATAGTCCTACTAGTAGTGTTCAAAGTAATGATTTTTCCCCGTTATTTGCCTCAAATTCAACAAATAATAATAATAATAATAATAATCATCTACCATCTCAATCTGTATTACAACGTCAACATTCAGCATTTTCATCTATTGATTCTACAACAAGTTCAACACCTTCATTAAATCGTTCATCAACAAATGATCTTCCATCAACATTATGTTGTTTCGGTAATAGTCCTCCATATACGTATTGCATTGACTGTGAGACATCATTATGTGAAAAATGTGCATTAACACATCCAAAAATGCTTGGTTTTAAAGATCATCGACAACAATTACTATCATCACAATTGAATATTAACAATCCTAATAATAATTCTCGATCAATTATTGGTCAACCATCACGACAACAATCAACGCCAGATATTTTTCCATTAGGTGCAGGTAAGTTGTGTTTTTTTTTTTTTGTTTTTCTTATTTATTTATTTAATTCACAAGGACATTTCTTTAGTTCGTTTATCACAACAACAAAATCCATTCGATTTATCTTATAATCGATCTTCATCAACAAATAATTCATCGAATGATTTTCAATCATTATTTAGTTCATTTTTTTCTCAATTATCACTTAGTACACCTAATATTGAGAATTCAATTAATAATCATAATAATAATAATAATCCTCCTTCATCACCATCTATATCATCAACAACAATTTTTTGTCATGAACATTCAACATTAAAAGCATCCTATTATTGTGATATATGTTCACGTGCATATTGTCATGATTGTCAAGTTCTTCATGCTCAACAACATACATTATCATCATTACAAGATACAATTGATAATGCACGACAATTAACAAAACAATTTTTAATTGAATCCCAAACATTATTATATCATCTTGATGAATCATTAAAACAATCAACACGTACTATGGAAAATATTTCAATAAAAAGTTCAACTATTGAAAATGAAATACGTACTATGATTAAATATTTTCTTGATATACTTTCACAAAGACAAGATTTTCTAATGAAAAATGTTGATAAAATACAAACAATTAAAACACAAACTTTACAAAGACAAATTAATGAATTAAATCAAGTTATTAAACAATTACATTTAACAATACTTGGTAAGTTAAACATTTATATAACTCAAGACATTAATTTGACGATCGAATTTAAATTATTTTTTTCCTATTCTAAATAGATTGTAATGAATGTTTAAAAAATGGTAATGATGCAGATTTAATTCGTATACGAAATCGTCTATGGAATGAAACAATTAAAATGAAACAAACATTATTATTATATTTAAAACCAATCGAAGATGATTATATACAATTTCAAGGTTCGCCAACATTAATTAATAAATCTTTAATAAATTATGGTCAATTAGTTACTTCAACATATCCACCATTATGTGAATTATATGGTGATTCATTGTATTATACTATACGTAATCGTTTAACAGTTTTAAATTTACAAACACGTAATCATTTAGGTGAATTACGTACAACAGGAGGTGATAATATACAATGTTGTTTAATTGATACCGGTACAAATCAAACTGTATCATGTGACATATATGATCGTCAAAATGGACAATATTTTATCACATATATAGCTCAAACTGATAATCTACATATATTAAATGTCTATGTTAATAATGCACCAATAAAAGATAATCCATTTCGTATACAAATTAAACAAAATCGTAATTATTCGACTATTGGTTTAAAATTAGAATTTGAAATAGGTGGTGAAGGTGATCAAGATGGTAAATTATGTCGTCCATGGGGTGTTTGTTGTGATCATCAATCAAATATAATTATTGCCGATAGATCGAATAATCGAATACAAATATTTAATAAACATGGACAATTTTTAAGAAAATTTGGTACACAAGGTAATCGTCCTGGACAATTTGATCGACCAGCTGGTGTTGCATTTGATAAACAACTACATCGTATTATTGTTACAGATAAAGATAATCATCGTATACAAGTTTTTACATCTACAGGAGAATATATATTTAAATTTGGTGAAAAAGGTACTAAACCCGGTCAATTTAATTATCCATGGGATGTAGCTGTATCATCAACATCACAAATATTAATATCAGATACACGAAATCATCGTGTACAATTATTTTCCAAAGATGGTTTATTTTTACGTAAATATGGTTTTGATGGTCCTATATGGAAACAATTTGATTCACCACGTGGAGTTGTTTTTACTCATGCTGGTCATATAATTGTATCAGATTTTAATAATCATCGTTTATTATTTATATCATCAGATTTTCAAAATGCTCGATTTTTTGGTAGTGAAGGTTCAGCAAATGGACAATTTCTTCGTCCACAAGGTATTGATATTGATGCAGAAGGAAATATAATTGTTGCTGATTCAAGAAATTATCGTGTACAAATTTTTTCACCACAAGGTGTTTTTAAAACAAAATTTGGTATGCAAGGTTCAGGTCCTTTACAAATGGATAGGCCAAGTGGATTGTGTGTTACACCTGATGGTTTGATTCTTGTTGTGGATTTTGGTAATAATCGTATTCTTGCTTTTTAATTATATATACGATTCTATGTCTCACACATTTCACTCAGGTATCCTATCTATCTCTACATAATTCACATATATCAACCCGGTAGATATGCACAAAGAACAGTCTCTTTTTATTCTTTCTCTCGGAACTTTTGAAAACAAAAATTCAAATTTAAACAAAAACGACTTATTTCTTTCATTTCTTTTACGTTTTTCTTTTTTTTTTTTTTTTTCATTTCCTTCGAATTCTCTCTATGAGTGAGGCACAAAAATTTGAACAGTAGCAGGAAAATTACAGTTTACGTATATGTGTACATATAAAGTCTCATTAATTGTTTTTTTGTTGTTTATAATCATTGTTTATTGAATGTTTTCCTTGAATATTTCTTTCTTTTATGAGCACAGTGTGCTTCTTTAAAACAAAAGAAATTTTGCTTCTTTCATTTTTTTTTTTAAAAAGTCTTTAGCTTCAAGTCGCTAGATCTATCTGCAGGGTAACACATAATTAGACTTCATATAATGTTCTCTCGTTATTTGACTCAGGAACACGTCTCTGTGTGCGTCTCTCAGGATGAACAGTAGTGACTCTTTTTTTTTCTAAAAACAGTACTACAATAATTCGCTCTTTCTATCCCTCTTCTTCTTTTTCTTTTGTTTTAACAAGAAAAACAAAAACTACAGGATATTTTTCAGTCTCTATTACTATTACTGCTGCTGCTGATAAACCAAAACAGGAGGCAAACGAACAGAGTTCTACATTTTTTGTTTTTTTTTTTCGCATATAACATGCAGTTCGCAGACATTTTCTTGCCACTCGGGTTTTTAACGAAATCTATATTTCAAAAAAAAAAAATACACTAAGTGTTTTTTTTTCGTCTACTGCTACTGTTTCATTTCTTTTTTTTTTTTTTTTCTTCTTTTCATTTTATAATTTTTGCTCTTGCTTTTTTTCTTGCTTCAGCATTTGTCCTATTACAAGCTGCTATTTCTTCTTAAGTGTGTGTGTGTGTGCCTGTGTGTATGTGTGTATCGTTCTCTTTTGTAACATGATCTTTTCGTTTTGAAATTCGAGTGCAAATTAATAAAAAAATAAAGTCGATTTATCATTTATTTATTTACTTGTTTAGTTTGCCTTCAATTCAGGGTCATTGTCGGGCGTCTTAACATGCATTACTTGTTGACTCTTGTCAAGGTTATATATTAAGTATTCTATGCGTGTATAATAGGTTGCCTTCGTCGGATAAAAACAAAGTTTGGCATTGAGAAAGAATTGTTTGTTTCATTCTCTCATCGTTAATAGACATTCGTCCTTGTCTGAATCGTTAGTACAAAAGAACGAGAAGAAAAAAAAACTCAAGGAAGAATGTCTACGCACATTGATGAACGACTTATATGTCTTGTCCTTATCAGACAAACATTTGTCAAGGGCAACGAGTCGTGTATCAAATAGAGAAAAAATAGAACGAATAAATTTATGCTTATTTTACAGCTGATGATGATCATTTCAGACGCATGTTACCTTGTAGAGAACAAAAAAACATATTATTTGTTATGACATAACAAGGTCGAAACACTCTTGTTAATTTTATTTCTTTAATAAAAATTATCATTCAAGGACTCCATGCTCAACGAGCACATGTTTTCAAATGTATTGTATTATCCGGACAAAAGCAAGCAAAAGCTGATGGACTAGCTGAATTAGCAAAACAATAACCCGGCGAACAATTTAGTTCACAAACAGCTAAATAATAAAAAAAAAAAGCAAAATTTATAATATATAAATAGAAATACTATTAATAGGATATACCTGGTCGCATATCTAATTCACATGTATTTCCTGTATAACCAGGAGCACATGTACAAGTATAACTATTTCCCGAAACACCGCATGTACCTGCATTTTTACATGGATTACTATCACAT